CACTGAGCTACATTCCCAGTCCAAGCTTATTGTTTTTGTCAAAATGAATGGCCCTATACAATCTCTCTACAATGTTTCAAAGGAGAACAGTGACTTATTTGTAACTTTTATGTACAGCTCGCCTGCTTCCTGATTTGAGGTGGGGAAGTCACATGAATTGCACACTTGAGTCCCGACAGATCGACGATCCTAACCCCTATGATGCAGAGAGGCAGCCTGGCCTCAAGGAGGAAACAGGCTGGTGAGGTCACCAGGCTTTCTGGGGACCTGTGGTCCTGCTGGGTGGGACCAGTGCACCTCGATGCTAATGCAGGGATGGGCTAGATTACACAGGTCTAGGTCCAAGTGAGGAAAATTCTAGATCACAGTCCTCTGGAAATGTCCTACCTTACTCCCCACAACAGGTTCCGGATGAAGAAGGAAGCACTTTTTTAAGGAGGCAGCTTTTGGGAATGAGAGATGTGTAAAAACAGGAAAAAGTTCATGTAAAATTTGTGATCTGTTCAGAGGTCTCCTCCTGTAAAAGTGTGAAAGGGAACAGCGTCACTGGAACATGCGAAGGCCTCTCTGGGGCGGGCAGGCCATGAGGGCAGAGCCCGCAAAGCAGTACTGAGGGGCTGGGACCTGCACAGTGGGCTCCGCACTGCTGGCCACCATGTGGGGCATGTCCTAGGGCCCAGCTGAACTAACACAAAGGGGAGCGAGCAACCACTGCTCAGCTGGAAGACATCACTGAGGGCAGGCTGGGAAGAGGAGCAGGCAGAGGAGGGGGAAGAGGAAGGGCCTGAGCCCGACCCTGCCTCTCATGAACTTTCGAGACTGCTGCACTCTAGCACAGGCATAAAGGCTCAATGAGAGGCAGAAGTATTGAGGGATTAACCAACATGAAACTTGGGGACAGAGTGAGCTGACTTCCCCTTGGGAATAGCTGTGTGGTGGCAGCTGGCTTTCCTTTTCCTGCTAGAAGGCAACCTGGGCCCCCAGGAGCGTGCAGACTGTGGCAAGGAGGCCCCAGGACCCGGCAGGTCAGGGAGGCATGCTGAGAACCTTGCCAGGCTCACACGGTGGGCCCCTCTGCCTCTGCTGCCCCACTTGTCCGTCCCCTTCACCCTACCTGGGTGCAGCCAGCTATCTGGATGGACGTGGGTCTGTCACATGGCTCGCAGGGTGACCTCTGGCCCAAGCCCTGGCCTAACCCTGCTGCACTCACCATGGGTAAGGAAATGGGAACCACCGCTCTGGAAAGCAGCGCTGCCACTTGGCGAAAACCCCTTCAGGGAAGCCTTCCGCAGCCTCGGGGTACTGGCATAGGAAGCGCTGGATCTCTTCCTTCCGCAGCGGCTGTCCAGTCTTGGCACGAAAACAAAACAAAGGCACAGACTTCCCATGACCAATTCTGGAGCTGAGGACTGGTGCAGTGGGGGCAGCAGCACCTCCTTACCTTGATCACCAGCTGCCGGAGATGGTCGAACATCCTTGGGGCATCCTCCGGGAGCATCACCTCCAGGGGCAGAGAGTGGGCACAGACGATGCAGTCGGCAGGGACCGGCTCCGAGGCATTCTGCTCCCCACTGTAGGGCCACCAGGGGTCGAGATCTGTGAGGGGGTGCGACACAGAGACGGTAGGTGGGTGCAGGAAGAGCACTGGCTATGAGGAAAGCCTGCAGCCAGCAGAGAGGAAGGAATTTTCAGAGCAAACAATCAGAGGCGCTGGAGCGCGCGACACAGGGCTTAGCCAGGCCGGGGAGAGGCTCTTTGCTGGGAAGACTCTCCCACACTTCCCTATCTCAAATCAATAAACAAGGCACTGCAGGTGGAAACCATTCGTCCACGTAGCCCCTGCCACCCTCAACCCTCTCCCAGCATGCACTACTTGGCTGAAATGTCCAGGGCATGCAGGCTGAGGCAGAGGGTCGGCGGCTGGCCTCACAGCTGCACCTGTTGGTGTCTTTGAGAACTCCAGAGCTGCACCCGGCCCTTGCTTCCCAGTGACCTGGAAGAGGGGCCAGGTAAGGGCAAAGAGGAAGGGACACACAGGAGAGCTGGGACCTAGCAGAGCCATCACTGGTGCATGCCGCTCCTGCCTGACCACTGCTTCTGCCCAGGGACCCCAGGTGGGGGAGCAAAGAAGCCCATGCCTAGCCCCCTACCTGGCAGCTGCCCACTGCTCACAGCCTGCCTCAGTTTCCCCTGCTCCAGCTTCTGACATGTATAGTTTAGAGTGCTCCTGCATTCTTTCTTGTTTACTTTCTCATTTCAGGATTCATTTGAGTTCTCAAAAGCTGTGTTTATTTTAAACTCTAATTTGATTCCAGAATGCTTCACAAGCTGGTTCTGATTACAGCCCAGTAAAGACCGTTCAGGAGCCAGCCAAGAACAAAGGCAAAAGACAACCAAATGTGGCTGAGATGAAGTCAAGGATTTAAACCAATAAACACTGGGAAACTCCCCCTAATCACAGAGTACTTTCTGTCATCAGCAGTGAGCACTGGATCTTGGTGGTTTGTTGCTTAAGGCAACTGTCATGGGCAGGGCCTCCTCCGCTTCTCGGCAGAGATGGGCAGACCCAGACACCTCTCCCCAGCCTGGCTCAGCCCTGTGTCGGGTGCTCCAGCGCCTCTGATGGGTGGCAATGCTCACCTGCGAGGGGCCTCCAGGGCCAGCCTCTGGTGCCACCTGTTTGGTGGCACATTGGAGCAGCAAGGCTGTAATTTTTTTTTTTCTTTTTCTTTTTTTTTTT